CCCCAAAACCCCAAAACCCCAAAACCCCGAGTAGCAATTTTCATCAATTTTTCGTGAAAAATATTTTTTATTATTTATAATAAGCCAATTTAAATGACAGCAGATAAATAAAAGCACCAAGAAAAGGATCCAAAACTATTGAAGCTATTTGCAGCAATAATAATATTTATGACAGTTGATATCATATTTTTACGCGAATACCTATTTGAAATTTCAGTGAGACATCAAATCATGATGAGAACTGAATATTATAACCGACCATTAGAGCTATTCTTCCACTCTATCAGCGAGTCTTGTGACAAATATGGTATTACACTTATTTCTTGTGTTTCCGTGTCACTTTTTCCTATGGAACGAGCATATATGCAAATATTTATTCAAGCATCTATTATAGGAGCAAATAATATTCTTAAAAGCATATTCGCTTAGCCTAGACCATTCTTTTTGTCGAGCCAAATAAAGCCCTTAAAATGCACATTAGAGCATGGAGATCCATCTGCTCACACTATGTTTGCTATGGCTTACTACTTTCACTTTACCCTATGTGTTATTAATTCATTCAAAATCCAAAGAAAGGCTATGGTTTGGTCCTTTTATGGAGTTTTCTTTTGTTTGATAGTGTCGTCAAGAGTTTATAATGGGTATCATACTTACAATCAGATTTTTTCAGGAATATTCTGGGGTTTAGCATTCTACTACACTGTCTGTGATGTATTCGAGGAAAGCATTCACAATATGGTAAGAAATGTCAGATAGAAATCTTTAATCTAACTATTACTGAATCCAGTTACTTACACTTTTATCGTAGGCTATGTTATTCAAATTCTCCTACTTATATATGGATTGAATTATAGACCTACACCATCTTCATGGCTATAAAATACGATTGCGAATTGTCCAAATTATGGTCAGAGAGTCGACCCTAATTTCTCTGACTTCGAGAGATATCCGGTGGCTATAGCAACCATCGCGCTTTTATTTGGAACAGCAGTCGAACAAAATTACTTTCCATCAAGAGACTATAATATTCACTTAACTAATGGATTTTTGAAGCATACTGCAAGAATCTTGATAAATTTTCTAATTTTATTTACTTCAACTATTTACATGCCATTTATTCCTAATGATTCTTCATTTACAATGATAGTTTTGTTAAAATTTGCAATTCCAAGCTTTGTCTCAGGGTTTTTGGTAGTATCAGTTCCAAAATACGTTTTTTACAAGCTTGGATTAATAGATTTAGAGCATAAAATTGATATTAAAAATCAAGAAAGCTAAGTAGGAAAAGGAAACAAGAATAAAACAAAAATTAGATGATGGCTAATAAAAATTAAAATCTTTATGTCAAATTCTATTTTCAATTTTTGTAAAAGCATATACAGGGGTTTTGGGGTTTTGGGGTTTTGGGGTTTTGGGG